AAAAGTGCACGCTCCCCCCATCTTAAATCATGCGACGCGGCGGGGGGGGGGGGGGGGGGAAAGCTGTTTCTATCAATCAGTGTGATGTTCTCTTGAAGCAAAGAAGGTTGTATGGAAAAGCAACCATTTCAGGCTGCAATGGGACAGAGGACTTTTCCCCCCACCCCCCCAGCTCAGCAAGTGGTTGCATCTGGCACAAAAGATGAACTGTCGATGTTCCAGCAATGAGGAAAGCAGTGGCGATGGACAGGTGGCAAGCAATAGTCAGCCTTTGGGCCAAGCTGTATTAAAATTCAGCCCACTGCTCCTAGGACCTTGCTGACCCCTGGGCTTAGTAATTCTTAAAAAAAAGTCAAAAAACCCCAAGAACAAAAAACATTCAGTCCAAGAGTCACTCTGGCCCAAATGCACAAAACTCACATCAACAGGCTTCTGCATGTCCAATACTAGTGACAGCAGTGCAGTTACTTTGTGTCTAACAAGCAGGGTTTGCACCATGGGTAAACCTTGCAGGAGAGCAACACAAAAAGGCTGCTTCTTGCACAAAAAGGATAATTCTGCTGCCCCTCCCTTAGTTGACATCCAGGGCTGGTGCCCCACACCCTTCCCCTCCCCCTTGATATGCTACTGGAGTTCAGTAGCACAGCACTATGGTGAAAGGGTAAACGTAGTGGACGGGAAAAAAAAGAAGCCAGGCAAGGCAAAACATAAAACGTTAATGTCACCTTTATAATAAAAAGCATGACATTCTGCGCATTCTGGACAATACACCTATAAAAACAGACAATTCATAATGGCACTAAATTAAGTCTTAACCCACAGTCGCGTCTCTTAAAATACATGTGGACCTGGTACAGAAAAAGTTAGTACTACAGAAAAAAGTTATAATACCATGGAAACATTTAGATTTGCCCATTATTTCATTTCTCCTGGTTATTGCACTTTCATATACACTTGGTAAGCTTGTTAAGTTCTCTTTAACACTGTAATATACATCAGTCCTTTAAAATAACAAAGGAAAATACAAAAGTTTAAGGGCATTACA